AACAAGAGTATGCATTATTTAAAACAAATAACTTATAATCGGCATTTATGTAAAAGGTCCTTTTTATGTTTTATTTTGTGGGGCGGGATGGTGTGGCAACAATCCAAACATTCAGGCCCGCGAATCAAACTAGGCTAGGTCCATTTTGCACCAAAGCAAACCAAATACACTTCTGGAGATTCTGTGGCCCATTGTGTGGCCCATTCTAGACTAAAATCTACAGATCATTCCTGATTTCCTCGAGCTCCATAACCATGCATTAGATTTTGGAAAAGGAACAACCTATTTACTTTGACAACACTTTAATAACTTTTACCAAGAAAAGTTACTATCCAACGTTCGTTATGGTCTTTAGGTACACATGACTAAAAAAAAGCAAAGTACAAAATATAAATAATTCATTGATAATCGAGAGAAAGAGAAAAAGGAAAAAAAAAAGAACACAAAATCCACAAGCTTAGTCCATTACTAAAATAATTATAAAAACAAAAAGAAAGGAAAAAAAATTCTAGTCATTTAAAGTGAAATCGGCAGTGCCCCCATTTTGGGTCTCAATCACCAATTATATAGCCTCAAAACAATTATATATATATATAGCAATTCAACCATATTATCCTAGACTCCTAGTCTAAACAGATTAAAAATATATACCCAGTGAATAGGCACAAGTCATAATCACAGAATCAATTAGTAGAATGTAACCAAATGGACCATTCTTATTTTTCGATGGATTAAAACAACGCTACTCACGCAAAATAAGTTCTCTTAGGTGGATAAATACGATCTAACTTAGTGAGACTCACCATTTTATGAGTGATAGAGTTCTATTTTTAACGGCATGAAAATCATTTTTGAACCAAACATTCATTTTTATTTACTAGTTTTCTTCTTTTTTTTTGGGGTACTTTTATGCTACAATCTCCGGTTGGTATTATTGTACATTTCCCTTAAATTTAATCAAAATCATATTAAAATAAAAGAATACATAATAGATTATAATTTATAATATAAATATAATAGCTAAAAACAGATACTTCTTATAATTTATTTTTGAGATCTTATTATAAAAATTTCTTTTTTTTCCTCTTTGTCATATTAAAATTAAATATTATTAAACAGTATAAAAGCAGATATGAGGGGCCCCAAAATCATCACTTCTTTTCAGGGTGATTAGAGGAAAAAGAAGTTAGATATTACAATAGTAAAGTGTATAAACGGAAATAATTGTTTAAATTAGATTACCGGTTTTCTGATCATATCATAAGCTAAAAAGTGTTGGATGAAGGTTTAGTTGAGATTAGGTATAAGTGAGACGTGACAATGCTAAAGATAAGCCTCATCATTATGGCTTGATAGTATTGGTACGAGGTCCACGCCTTCTAATATATATATATATATATATATATACACACAATGCTTTTTTTTTTTTTTTTCTGAATATATATAATTCTGTTCAACAGAATCTTGCTCTTGTATCTGTAGGTCCCACAATCTTAAAAATCTCCACCACAAATCCCAAAAGTAATTCTATGATTGCACGCTTGTAAAAAAAAAAAAAAAAAAAAAAAGTTTCCCTTGTTTTTTTTTGGCTGAATAAAAGTTTCCTTTGTTGAATACACTTGATTCGCCACCACAAAGAAGTTAATTGTCTGTAAAAAAAAAAAAAAAAAAAAATTACGAACGGAGAGAGAATTACAAAATCATCATCTAATGTTCTTTGACATATTTTCCGATTTAATTTCAAATTGTTTTTTATTATTGGTTGAAAATGTTGTCATTGATAACAATTATTGAACGGATTTTAGTAGTTTTATTATATGCCATTGCGTGACAATATATGTTAATACATGTACAACGTAATTTGAGCCTTTTTATTATTTTTTACTATAAAATCTAAGGTCTTTCTTTCATAGACCTCTTTATTAGTAAGTTCAATTTCTGATAACTAAATTTAATTACAATCATGTCACATTTTTATATGCAAACTGATAGTTCCTACTTTCTAACACAAATCTAACAATTGAAATCAAAGTCTTTTATTTTTTTTAGTATTTTAGATAAATCTTCCAAAATTCAACTTATTAAACTTTGACACGTAGGAAGTACAGATAGACTTGACCATTTCGTTTTATTTTATATATATTTTTTATTATGGAAGTATCATTGCATTTGACTTTGCGTGTAAAAGAAAAACGAATAAGGAAAGAAAATAAGACGAAGATCTTGCGTGAATCTATATCCAATACCAAAAGAACTCATATGGACGGCTAGGATCTCATCCGACTGTACGGCGGGAGATCTGGACCGTTCATAAGGATAGTACTGAGATCATGAAAAGATTGAAGAAGAACTGGCGATATATTTTTTGCAAAGCTCTTAATGATCATGTTATCATGTTTTTTCATGGTACATTCGCGTGCGCTTGAACAGTATTATTGTCCGTTTGATTTTATTTTGTGGGACCATCGTAATATATTTTAAATCCAGTAAAAATTAACTAAAGTGCTGCGCCACTTGCCTTTTCTTCGTCGTTCACCTCACTCGCTACCATATTTTTTTCATTTTTCCACAAATAGTATATTATTGTTATTATGTATGACGTGCCCATAAATAATTAAGTTGATGGAAAATAAGACACAAAAATGGATTAAAAAAAAATTGGGGCACATATCGACAACATTTTTTTGGCTTTATTTTATATACATTCCCACGCCAACGATATAGACATGATTTTCATAAAAGAATATGAATATATCAAAGAAATGGAACCTTGTATATCATAAATTTTGTTTTCGATGGAATGGCCGGTGTTTAATATAATTTATTTTTTGTCACGCGATCATTTTATAATATATGATAAGCTTGTTATTGTAAAGGGGAAAAAAATTGAAAAAGATGCTAACGTATTAAAACATATAACAAGTAATAATAATATGTAGTATTATTAAAAAAAAATTTAATAATAATTGTAATAATGGATCATTATAAAAGTCGGTGATAATCACCACTATTGCCATTAGCAATGCGGTTTTGTTGCATATGTAGAGCTATTTCAAATTAAGCTTATAATACTTCCATTTCAAAAAGAAGGTCACGCTTATTATATTTATATTTTTTATTTTGTAAAGTACTCTTTTTTTTTTTTAAACATTGAGTTTGAGTTTGAGTTTTAATTTGTGAGTTAAAATTTAAGTTTGGAGTTAAAATTTAAGTTCAAATTCTTTCCCCTCTTAAACTTGAGTTTTTAAACTCAAATTCAAGATGATTCTTTCCACATATTTTATTAAAATTGTATATCATTATTAATAAGTTTTTATAAGAATACTATTCAAATACATATTAGTTTTGACTCATTCACATTCAAACTCAAATAAAATTTCAACTCAAACTATATAACTCAATGTGCACATTTAAACACAAACTCAAATTAAGGCCTCATTTAGTTCGCCGATTCAAGTTTTCAACAGTTTTGTTACAGTTAAAAGCTATTACAAAAAGTCACATCTAAATTTTTCTATTAAAATTAAGCTCCCACGTAAAGTCACATATCAGCTTGAATTGAAACTCGAATTGACGAACTGGACATGGCTTAAATTCTCAACTTAAACCATAACTCAAATACGTCTTAACTCAAATAAAGATCTTAACTCAAGTCATATAAAAGAACACACCTTTAATTTTTAGGGAGTTTCTCCGATAGGTCGACATACTGGTAGTCTCAGTTTTGGACCGTTAAATATGGTTTAAATCATATCAAATTAAACAAGATTAATTTCAAAAATTATCCTTGAACTATGACCCCTGTAACGCTTTGCCTCCCGAATTTCAAAACGCAACATCTGCTCCCCCCGAACTTTGTTCTGTTAACAATTTTACCCCTTCTATTACACTTAGTGACGAAATTCGTCACATGTCTATTATTTAACCCATATGAGGAGGGTAATATCATAAAATATCCCGTAAAAATCCCAAGTTATTAAAAAAAAGGATTAAAATGCATCAGTTTATCAGGGGAATAAAATATTCTATGTTCAAATAATCTCCCAACCAAGAACGAATCTTTATTTCACAAAAAATGAAAAAAAAACCCACAAATCAAAACGATGGCCATTGCCTCATCGAATCACCACACCTTCAATAATCACCGCCACGTGAGTAGATCAGCCCATCACGATCTCCCCCTTGCCACCTTTTCAACGCTGTCACCGCCTAATATGTCCGAGGCCACTGGTGAGAATGAGAAGAACCTAACTCCTCCCCCATGTGAATCAAGATCTGTTAAGCCACCATCTTCGTAAGTTTCCACGAGCCAAGATCCGACAATCACCGTCGCACCACTGTGCTAGATCTTCCTTCTCCACCATTGCAAGCTCTCTTGATCGAGCCTATCTCCATTGTCGTGAGCTCTCCTTCACCTTCGCATCACCAGTTGCAAGACCCCTCATTCACTTGTTGAGCTAGCCTTCACTGTCATTTATGGCGTCTCAAAAGTCGAGGGATGCGCGAAGAGCGTTGATCTCCACCGTCCGCCGCCACGATCACCAAGATTCTGAATGAAGATGGGTATAAGCTAATTTTACTTTTAAATCTCACTAAATAATGGACACGTAACGAATTCCGTCACTCTGTAACAAAAAATGTAAAATTGTTAACGAAACAAAATTTTAGGAGAGCGGATGTTACGTTTTGAAATTCGGGAGGCAAAACGTTACAAGGGTCATAATTTAAGAGAAATTTTTAAAATTAATCTATTAAAAAAATACAAAATATATAAATTATGATACAAATTTAACGGTTAAAAAGTAAAAAACTATTGATTGTTACCCTCTATTTTTAAATTGATCACCGTTTTAAATCATAAACAGAAGAGGCAGTGTTTTACACGCGTGAAAGGAGCGCGTGGAGAAGAAAGCGATCTGTTAACGTATCTTCCAAAGTGGCAGTGGCTATGGGGATGGCCCGGATCAGCATAATAAATGAGGCAATAAAAAACCACTCGCAATTGATTAGCATAAAAAAACCACTCGCAATTACTCACATTGATAACTGCGAGACGCAGAGAGAGAGAGAGAGAGAGAAGAGAGAGAGAGAGAGAGAGAGAGCAGTGAGCTTAAAGGTTTGAGCTTTTTCAGCTCTTGCTCAGTTCTGGTTTTGGAGGTAAAAAAAAAAAAAAAATGAAACAAAGGAAAAAGCTTTTTTAGCGAGCTTTTGTGTGTCATAGAAAAAACCAAGAAACCCAATCCAAGAAAGATATTCATATAACATAGAAAAGACCAAAAATCTTTGCAATAAACATCCCAGAAGTCCATTTGAATAACACAAGAGAGAAATCCTAAACCAGAGAAAGAGAAAGTGAGAGAAAAAAAATGTTTGCTGGAGAGAATGGACTCAAAGGAGACCCAAGGCTTCAAGCCATTTCTGAAGCTATTAGGGTCGTTCCTCACTTTCCGAAACAAGGTTTGGTTTTCTTTTTACTTAGTAGTACATTTTTATTTTTATTTTTTATTTATGTTGTTTTAGTATAATGTTTCTTTTAGGGGAGGGGATACATTTTTGTTCTTCCGTCTTGGAATCTCTGTGGAAGTTTCATCTAACACGTGATTTGTGTTTTTTTTTTCTGTTAAAAAATTATTTGTTTATATTTTACGTTGTGCAGGAATAATGTTTCAAGACATAACAACGTTGTTGCTAGATCACAAGGCATTCAAGGATACGGTGGACATATTTGTTGATCGCTACAGAGACATGGATATCTCTGTTGTTGCCGGTACCACCTCTCTCTCTCTCTCTCTCTCTCTCTCTCTCTTCTTACTTATACGATAAAGTATTATTATTTGAGCTTTACTCTAATAAGGTTTATAATATTTTATTTATTTATAGTTGGAAATGTGGGCATATGTTTATATCTTCAAGACTATCTTTAAAGTTTAATAGTAGGTACTAATAAATGTGAGACAGAAATTTCTCTATCTTATCATTATATATATATATATATATATTTGGAAAGATTGTAGCTTTTGTGAACCCTAAACGAGAGGGATCAAAGTAGGGCTCATTTTTGCAAGTTATTATTTCAGTATTTTCTTTGGATTTTGGAAAGGTATTTATTTCTGACTTTTGTAGCTGCATGCATCATAATTTTTATGGGGATTCTGAGTATATAACTGAGTAGCCATGAAAATGCCACGCATTTGATATATTTTTCTAGATTTGCGATTTGAAGGACTTGAATCACCAAAAGGAAGAGAATTTGTGAAGATGCTCTTTAGCTTTAGCTTTAATTTTTGTTAGAAAAAATAATAATAATAAAATCAGCTTCCCTTGTACCGTTTCTAGTTTCCCAACATTTTGCCCCCACCGAACTTGGCTATTTTTCTCAGAATTTTTTCCATCCACTATTTACAGGGGACTAAGACGTTTGATATCCCTTAATTATTGTTCTTGCAAATTAGTTGATAAGAATTATCTGTAAATGTTCCCTTATTAAATCTCAGGTGATACTTAGGGCCCGTTTAGAAGGTATATTCATCTTTGATTATTGATTCTGATGTTTGAAATTCGAACTTTTGTCAGAGGAAAATACTAGCAGAATCGATGATTTGAGTTTGAGTACATGAAACAAATGGGCTCTTAGTTTGGGTGTCATAGGCCTTGAATGTATCAAATATTTTCTTTTGTTTGGTGATTGGTGATGGAGTTCCATGATATATTGATTATTATTATTATTATTATTATTATTTTGGTTATTTCGTTTTGCAAACATCTTATGGAAGAATCTGATAACTGTAGGGGTGGAGGCAAGAGGGTTCATGTTTGGTCCTTCAATTGCATTAGCTATTGGTGCCAAGTTTGTTCCTTTACGCAAACCAAAAAAGTTGCCAGGTAAAGTATGTCCTTCTATATGTTGACAAAAAACTTGAGATGTGCCATGAAATTAAGAAACTAATTTGTTAATTTTACTAATTAGTGTATTTGCTCTGGACTAGTTGTTTTATTGAGGTAAATTGTTGTGTCAATTTCATTCGAGTTGCTGCTTAGGCTACAGTTAATGTAGTTTATGTTGGTTTTGGGGTTATATTTTTCATATAGGGCAAACGGTCTTTGCTACTTTGAATTTCATTTCTTTTAATTTTGACCTCAGCGGTTTTCATATCGATTAACTCTGATTGGTCCACAAGTGAGCTATTCTTCCGTTGTTGTGAAGCACATGACAGTTTTGTTCATCAAATTTTGACAGTTTTTATTTGTGGTATGTGTAGGTAAGGTTATCTCAGAGGAATATGAGTTGGAGTATGGAACCGACTGTCTGGAGATGCATGTTGGTGCTGTTCAGCCTGGCGAACGCGCGCTGGTGATCGATGATTTGGTCGCGACTGGCGGGACCCTCTCCGCAGCAATTAGACTTCTAGGTGTGTGGCCTTTCACTAGCTATGAAATCTTTTTGTTTCACTGTGATCATTTATCAATCCCGAAATAAACATGTACCCAATTCTTCTTTCCTAGAACGCGTGGGAGCCGAAGTGGTTGAATGTGCTTGTGTTATTGGTTTACCTGAGGTGAAGGTACGACTTTGAACCATTATAGATTTTCCTTGAAGATCCTCTAAATGGCATGGTACGAATGAGACTTGTATATCTGTCGTATACTAATAAGTTATTCTTCTCGTGGACCATCCATCTACATCATGTTGGTTAGGGTGCCTATGTTGTTATTTAGTGGCCTAACATGCATGACATTTATTTCACCTACTACATGAGTTTGTTGTAGTATCAAAAGGTAAAAAGTTGCAAGTTGGATATACAATAAAATATATACATGTGTTTCAAGTAAACCCTCTTTAAATATTTGGGTTTCAATGAAAACGACAATCATTTCAATTTGAAGTGTGAAATTCTGAGATGTATGGGGGAAAAAGATGGCCTGACAATTGAAGGAATTCTGCTGTTTTGAGAAAGAACATTTGCTGTTCTGGTTCATAAAAAAAAAGACCCATCTTTTTCCCAAATGTTAGAGAAGTTTTTGCCTATTGCACCAATAGCACACTCATAGACATCAATTTTTAACACTTTCAGGGACAGCGCAGGCTTAATGGAAAGCCGCTTTACATTCTTGTGGAGCCACGAGAGATGGATCGTTGTTGCTGAGGTATATACACCTTCATTTTCCGTATTAATGATCTAATTTTACATTACATTTATACAAAGCATCATTAGAATTTAGAAAGGTGTACCGAACATGCAAATAACTAATAGTTTTTTTTGCTCTTTTTTGTTTTGTTTTGTTTTGTTTTGTAAGGCGTGAAAAGCACTCGTCTTTCTATAGGATAACAGACTGATAATTGTTTACAGTTTGTTTTTTAGGATAACCATTTCAATAGGTAGTATTTTATTATTTTGTGTCATTATTAGTAGCTGTAATTTGATAATGATACCAGAATTGTATTTATCTAAATCATTATTAGTAGTTGTTACATGGGATAACATGATTGGCCAATTTTTGCAGATAAGTGTGAATTTGATGATTGCTTGGGCTGACTGCGAAAAAGAAATGATGCTTGAGCATTGCAACAACCACCAATCACGTACGCGTTTGCTTTTAAGAAAATGGGTTTACTTTGAGTTTTTGCCTTTGCAAGGCTCATTTCGTGTCATTTTTTTTCTTTAATTTGCGTCAATTCGTAGGGCTATTTGTTATGTGCCATTGCAAGGCTCATTTCGTGTCAGTTTTGAACAACGGATGGGATGGAGAATGTTATTCGTAGAGATTGCTTTATTCTTATAAATCAAAGTCTTTCATTATGGCAAAAGCGTAATTTTATGTGTACTTTCTAGTAGCAGCTGTTCAAAGAAAATCTATTCCAGAAAAAGAAAAAAAGTATTCGACCTGACGTCGTAAAAATGTTTCCAAACCCCGTTTAGATTTTAATCTTATTCCATTTGGAAACGGTGCACCATCTGTAGAAACGACATGTTAAGTTTGTTGTCGTTTCATGTGGCTTTGCCTGAAACAAAATCCAACTATGTATATATATAATCCAACCCCCGTTTAGATTTTTATCTTATTCCATTTAGAAACGGCGCAACATCTGTAGAAACGACATGTTAAGTTTGTTGTCGTTTCATGTGGCTTTGCCTGAAACAAAATCCATCTATATATATATATATATATATATGTATATTTTTTAATCGTCGTTGCTTTAAAATTAAAAGCGACATAAATCCTGACGTCCAAAGTTCCGAGTATATTTTAATAAATGAAAACGACATGCCATTTGTATTCATTTGTATTACATGTACAAATTTGCCTTCGATCCGAGTTTTAAAACGACAACAATATCAACCAAAACTTCAAAAGCAATTTGGGCAACGACATCATAATGAAAAGCACGAATTTCTGAAAACGACAACAGCAACACACGACGTTACATGAAAACGAAAATAATATCCAAAAAACATTAAAAAACGAAAATAACATAAAAAAAAATGAAAAACGAATATAATATCAAGAAACGACAACATAATACTCTTTTTAAGCACAAATTCGAATTCCGAAAGAGATTTGAGATATGATTTTGGACATCATCCAATGACAAGATCATCAGCTAAATAAAATGGATACACTTTAACGAGCAAAACCTGAATGCAATTCAGAAACATTTTTCTCTTTTCCCTCCCCCCATTATTCAACATTCACAAAAAATAAATAGAGCCGAATTTGTGAAGACTGTATATTTGTGACAATTTAAAGGCAAATGTTTGCTTTTGTGAGTCAACTATACGAAACAGAATATAGTCATTTCTTTTCTATCCGGAAGCGAAACAAAAGATGATCATCGACCAGAACCGTTATACAAACCCAGGAGACCTGATCATACTTGAAAAACCATGTTCATCCCTGTTTCAACTTTTTTGTTTTGTTTTCCCCCCCTTAAGAACCCACCTACGTTAATTCTTCGATAGAGCCTCCTCGTAAAACAGAGTTCACCTGTTTTCTTAATCTTACGTTATCAATGAAAATATTTGCTAATAGATTCCTCAACTCATCATCTGCCGTTGCTGCATCTTCACTCATGGTTTCATGATCTTCGTCAAGATCAGGAGCTGAAGCTCCGTTTTCTTGAGTCAAGAGTTTGGCCTGATAAAATGTGTCAAACGATTTGCTGTAAGTGATAATGAAAAAAGGCACACCAAAAAAAGGCACGGATTCCCTTAAAAAAGAAACGAAAGAAAAGAAACACGAAAGTAATGGCAAGAAAATATGGCAGTAGCATATTTTCACACTTCATCAGCAGTAAAGGGAATACGTTCCGTTCTTAGAGCATCGGCGCGCCTTTTCATGATAACGGACCAAAGTTTAACTAGTTGAAACTCACCCATTCTTGTAAGCCCCTTCCTACGTATATTGCACGTATTGTTGTTTTCCATTAAAGCAAATTTCATAAGTTTCTACAATTGAAAAAAACCCAACTCGGCTTCCCCCCCACCCAAATTTGAAAAAAAAAAAGAAGGAAAGTAGGAGGGAGTTTTTAGAAAGGTACCCCATTAAGCAGGAAGTTAATTTGGTCATCTGATGTTTTCAACAGATCTAAAGCCTCCCCTGGTGATGAAGGATGCAAACTGACTTTATCTTCATCTTTCGTAGGTGAATTCCGATTGCATTCATTAAGTCGATTGTAAAGAATCTTGCATTGATGCAGGAGCTTTTTCTTAGTTTTTTCTGCCTGCTTGCTCTTTTGTTTCTCCTGTTCAAGGAGTTTCTGAACAAGACAAAACACCAAACTTTGAGCGTGACAGGCCATCTTTCCTTCCTCCAAGTATATTTGAATTAATTTAAGAAATATAACGATCAAGATAAAGTCTAGGCGTCTAGCAAGTCAACAAGATGAATGATAGAAAGCAGAACTACTTTGAACAAATGGACCCATTATAGAAATTGAGCGACTTAGTGAAAAATTAAACCAAAACACAATTTACTTTAGTAGAGATATATAAATTACCTCGGCTTCAGACTTTTCCGTAAGTGATTTACTGAGCTCATGCTCTAATTTCGCTTGTGAACTTCGGAGAGATTTGACTTCCTTCACAAGAACTTTTCGATCTGCTTTTGACCTTGCTTCTAGCTCCTCATATTGCTTTGACAAAATCTCAAGCTGCTCTTTAGAAGAACCCAACTCTCGCAAAATGTCTTTCTCCTGAAGGGTTGAATTATTTGTTGATTTCGTGCAAGAATCCCCATCCTGGAATTATTTTATTTGCAAACATATTTTATCCCATTAAGATGATTAAATTGAAAACGGATAATACAACATAAACAGGGAACACCGTGAACCTTATCAGATTTTGACTTCAATTTCAACTCCATTTCTAATGACTTCTGCCGAAGTTCCTCCATATCCCACTGCATTTGGGTAAATCTTTCCCTCTCAATCAATATAGCTTGCTGCAGATTCTCTCTGCTTTTCTGTCGATCAGTTTCAAGTTCCACCTCCAAATCCTTGACCTGCATTTATCCATCACGGAATCAGAACACCCATCGGCAATATCTAAGATTTAGGTAATTCATCAGCAGAGAGAAAACTTCAAAGATTTGCCTACATTTGGAACTTCATAGATGTTGCTAGCTATCATTTAATCGTAAAAATATCATTTAAAAAATGCCCATCATGAAACTATGTACAGATTACACGGTAGCATAGTACTAATCCCTCATACAATACAGATTACTTTAAAAGAAAGAAGCCAAGCACAGGCTCATGATTGTGTCTTTATCAGGAATGTAAAATCTGTCCCTCTTTTTTTTTGGAAAGGAATAAAATCTGTCTTTTCAAAACTGAAATATGTAAGGAAAGAAAGTTATGCAACAAAATCAGACTTGTTATATTTCCTGTATAAGCAAGGACATTCTATTATCAGACATTGGTGATGTAAACTAAAAATTGGACCAACTGGTTGATATCGCATCTGAAATTACCTTTGTCGCAAGGTAATCTTTCACAGCTATTTCTTGATTCAGTCTTGCTATAAGATCCTCCATATCTGTTTTTGCTGTGACTAGTCTTCGCTGCATAGTTAGCAGAAGCCTACTCATTTTATGGCGCTGGTCTAATGGAAGAACTAACTGAGCACCACCAGAAGTATGCAACTCAGAGTTACCAAGAACTTCCATGCTGCTTGAAACCTCAGCACCTCCAAGAAGGTCAAGAGAGCCATTGCCAGATGAATTTGGAATCCCAAAATTAGAAGTTTCGCTACCTCTTAGAGAACTTACATCACTTCCTACACTCTCATTTGAGAGCTTGCGTGCATGAGCATTTACTTTACCATGCTCTGGCTCAGAGAATAGATCCATCCCGTTACCAGATAAATACGAAACTTTAGAACTGTTTCCATTATGTGCATCCCTCACTACCACATTGTTCAAATGTCTGGCACGCACTTTATTCCGAGGAAGGCCTTCCAACTGCTCCAAGATAGTTTGCCCCATAAATAGTCCCTCATCAATATTAGCCATGCCGTACTTCACAAGCTTTTCTATTGGGCCTGTCAAATCCTCATCCAATGCCAGATCCTCTATTCCAAGTTCAGAATTGTCATCCATTCCTATCCTTGGAGTTCCCAGCTCAGATATCTCATAAGCAGTATCACTTCCATAATCTGACGCAGCTGATGAACTACCAACAATAGTAGGTAAGCTTGACTGGGTAGGCAAATCACGGGAATTTGCTTCTGAAGTCTGCGGGTTTACATCTTGGAATGCTGAGAAGAATGCAACAGGAGAATATGTATCATGACACATGTAAAACTAAAAAATAAACAGAGGCCTAGACATCCCATCCATAGAAGTACACAATGAGAAAAAATAAAGACGTTTCACAGTGCACATCCCGCGACAAAAAGTCACATACATGACCTAGCAGCAGCTTCAAGTTCAAGAAAGGTAGCCACTGCAACACTTCTTGATACATCAATATCAGAAAGCAGCTTTGTCATCCACTCCTCTAAAGAGCACCTTCTCTGCAACAAAAAAATATATGCGTGTAAAGATACATATGGATGCTTGTGCGTATGTATCAATATAAGGATTGGCCGTGAAATTGTTCACTATGAGATTTTCTTCAGTTATATGAAGAGAAGTGATATCAAAATCAAGGAGAACCGTGGTCTCCCTTTTTCAAATTCAATAGACACCAGTGTCTTGGCGCAATAGACGGGTCATGGATTTATATAGTCTAAAGGAATACTATCAACCTGTTGTTGCCAAAAGTTTACCAGATGAATCAAACAATGAGGGATTACAACCAAACATATCTAACTCGTACAATGAAGGAACTCAAAATTACAGCTAATGCTGATTCAAGTAAAAAGCATTACCTACCTCTTCCAACAGAGCCCGGCTTTTCAATCGCAATAGTCCCTTGGGTGGGGTTGATGGGAGATTTTTCTTAGGAAATACCTTTTTAAGCTGCAAAGCAAGACAAACACGTTCAAACACTCCCTTCACTAAAACAGCAACTTAAGAAAGGAAACCAAGAAGAAATTTCCTATTAAAAAAAAGACTTTCATAAAAACCCTGGCCCATTTACAAACTGAAATGTGTGAACTACATATTAACTAAAACGTAAGGGAGAAAAGAGCAGACTTACGTCAGTGAATAACTTCAAGAAATCATTGAATCTTCTCAGTACTCCATGAGTTGTTGTAACCCCTTCTGGTGATTGCACACCAACATGAACCCTGTAGAACTGTCCCTCCAGAATGTCAAAAACCATATGAGAGAAGATGGCAAGTGCCACTTAAAAATTGACAAGTTGAACTGAAATTGAAGATATATATGTTGTGTTTTGATAAAGCTAGCAACATTGACAAAAAGAAAGAATGTCATATAGTATACAAATCCAAAAAGTAAATGTAATTAAAAAAAAAGGTATTAGAAATTACAAGGCGACTCTTGAAAATAGATTTCAGATCTTATGCACACTAACCAAATAAAACTGTATAGGAACCAAACATTTTAAAGTAATTCGAGAAAGATCTCCGTTGTGGGTTATAAATGTATGTGGACAATTGTTTAGTGGACTCAACTATAATGCATGTGTTTGTTAAAATTGATTCTAGTTTCAAGTTTCAACATGTGTAATTTTGCAAAACATGAGAAGCCCATTAAATTCCATTAGAAACTTAGATTTAATGTTGGATTTGGATAACAATTAATTATATATAAAAAGAATTGATTATGGAAATACAAGATAACAATGGTGACAAGTAAATAAAATTTATTTTCTCCAAGCAATAAGAGCTAGCAGCACATTGCTCGGATGTTGCAAATCAATTCAGTAAATCGATCAAATAAAATCCCGAAAGCTGACATAAAACAACATCTAACCCTGTATATAGATAAACACTGGAGATTCATTTAATTTGAATACCACTACAGGATCTGAATCTCTCGACTTTGGAAGGACAACCCAGGAAGGGATAGTGACACAATAACTCCAACCTGTACGAGAATCATGTGGCCAAACTGTGTCACGACCATTCTGCAGAAAAAAAAAGAGTTTTAGGGTCAAAAGTGGGATATAGAAATGTACATAGAAAAAGAGGGAGAGGGGATCCAATGGAAAAATTACCAACTTCCAATAGCACAATCAATGATGCTTGAAAGTAGATAATAAGAGTAGCCAAATTGAGACGAGACACATACAGATAAACTCTATTCTTATCAATGAAGGGATCTTTCGATGTGGAGAAAAAATCTTTATAGCAGTAGAATCGTAATAGGAGTAATATACTTTATTCACCAATTGTTCGATAAAAGTTATCTTCAAGGAAGAAAACATAACCAAGAATGGTGCATAACTAAAGTTGCAACGGCTTTTACTTTTTTTTGGCTATCACCAAAGCCCAAAACAATGGAATATATAGTGTCATGAATTTTCCTAGTCATCTTCACCCAACTTGGACAAAATAGTACCAATTCATGCAAGTATAAGTCTACTATAAACTATAGAATTCCACAGCATTGCGTAAATTGTGTCAGATGATCACATGCACTTGGCTAAAATGAAAAATGAAGCTAAATAAATCCTTTATCGCCCATTATTGTATTACCTAAATGAAAGGCTGCTCGGTCGCGCAAGAAACAGGAAATTGTGCCAAACCTACAATTTTACTCGTAGCGCGTAGCTAGCTTATAACGACTCAGAGTAATACTGGTGGGACCAATTCCTTTCCCAAATTTCAGCGATCAAGTCGCGTGACATTTAACTTATTTTCTAATTGGTAAGACACAAGATATGGATAGAAATCATATCATCTACCATACGTGACAAATTTACCGCCACTTCACTTGACGGCGATAATTTAGACAGAAGTCAATCCGTATCTTCCATTTAGAGATCGTATTTAAAGACAATTAATGATAGAATTTATCGTTAATCCAGTGACTCTCAAATCTCAATAAATCTCACAGATTCTAATATAGTATTGCTTCAGGTGAAACTTTGATTACCAACTTTTATGCAAAAAAGACGTGATAACATTACAACCTCATTTTTTTTTTTCAATGACAGAACATGCGGTTTAGATCGTGTGACAAAAAATTAACCTCATCATGCTTGTGAACCCTGAATTAATTAAAAACTTTCATCTCAAAATCAGTTATCAACATGGCAAGTAAAAGTTAGGAATAAGATCAAATAACAACAATGAGCATAAAGTAGAATATCATACACCGGAGAGTTCTACAAACTAAATGAACAGCTTATTGAAGATCATTGACCACGGAAAAAAAAAAGAGACAACTAATTCGCAATTAACTACATCGAAAACGCAGCAAAGGAAAACCCTAACAAAGTGAAGAATTCGCCACGAGTAAAACCATTGAAAACTCAAAGTCAAAGAGAATTTACCCATTTCCTCGGAGGAGGACTCCAGTCCATCCCAAGCGGCAGCGGCGAAGTCCCATCGTGCCTGTGCTTCGGAGGACTCCGTCCCTGCATCTTCTGATCTCTCTCTCTCCAAAATTCTATCTCTCTCTCTCTAAGAATCGAAAGCGATCATCTGATTCTGATGATCGCCGCGCGAAATTGAGCGGCAATTGGATCGCGAAACCTCTCTTCGTCGCAATCGGAGGGTTTGGAGGAGAGAAGAAGCTAGGCCTCTCCCTCTCTCCAAAATTCTATCTCTCTCTCTCTCTCTCTAAGAATCGAAAGCGATCATCTGATTCTGATGATCACCGCACGAAATTGAGCGGCAATTCGATCGCAAAACCTCTCTTCGTCGCAATCGGAGGGTTTGGAGGAGAGAAGAAGCTAGGGTTTTGGGATGATCGGATCAGCAGAGCAAAGCGAGAAGAATCTCAACCAGTCAGTGCACACACACGCACACCTGGTCTCCTTCCGGAGAATTTGTCGTTTTTCTGCTTCGTGGCAGCAATAAAACGACAGCGTACGTTAACACGCAAGAAGCTTAGCAGAGGTATGACCGTTGCGTGTCATCTGCTCCATTGGGGTTCGATGCTGTTGATGGTCTCTCTCTCTCTCTCTCTCTCTCTCTAAATCTGCGTGTCTTGAAACACACTTCTGTTTGTGTCTGTCAGTATTTAGGTTCGCAAAGCCACGGCTGATCGCACCTTGTTAACTCTTTTTTTTTTTTTTGTCTCTTTTTTTGGTTCCTCAATTGTGGTGTTTTATCGTCACGTTTTACTCTTTATATTTTGGAGAATCCCATAACTGTTTTTATTTTTAATTTCATGTTAAAAATTTCGTGTTTGATAAAATTTGGTAAATTTAATGAGTGAAAAGACCGTTTTAATTAATCTTAAAACACTTCTCATACTTGCTCAATTTAATTAGGCTCGTGATTGAAAGTCTATTTGCACTTTAAAGTTTGACTAAATTTTGTGACAATATAAAAGTTATTAAGATGGAATTTTAAATTCAACAAAAGAAAACGTCATAGCATTTTAGAAAACACGAGATAAAACGAAGCACATATTTAATTATATAAAAAAACGTATATATTTTGATAAAATAAAAACAAGGGAGATTTAGGTGTTTTTTCTCGTTTTTATTTTTTTTTTCAGCCAATAAAAGCGAATGATCTCACCTAACTATCTGCGTTTGCAAATGCATTATACACGTGTTCTATTTCGTTTGAAATATGTTTGATAAAGAAGTCCAACAAAGGGGAAAAAAAAGGTAATGAAGATTAGTTCGGCCCTTTATGCTCAGATAAGGAACATTTTTTGGGCCTCAACTCAAGTGTTTTTTCCTCCTTTTTTTTTTTTTTTCCTTTCTTCTTCTTCAAGTACAATCTAAAATACATATTCAGAGAATGAGAGAAATAGAAAAGTGATTATACACTATCAGGATTAGAGCCTGTTCATTCACAGATTAAAATTATGAGATTAGAACTATTTTTAATTTACGTGTGTTTTTTGTAAGAGAAAATACTATAGCGAACCATGAATCATGATTCAAATCAAAGAACGAATTCTCCAACCAAACGAGCTCTTAGACTCGTCAACCCTTGAAAGTTTAAAATAATTTTATTTTTTTATGAAAAAGAAAAAGAAAACGTATTAATGTCTCTCTTTCTCTCTTGCTGCTCGAGAGAGGAGAAACTAAAAATAAAAAATGAATTTTCATTTATCTCTCATTTTACACTAAACTAAAAAATTATTTTTATTTCTATTTTTTGTGTTTATTGCGCCAAACGCCGTTTTGAGAACGTTTTCATTTTTCTTTCTCGAAAAATATAAAAAACAAAAACAGGATCAATTTCGAACACGGCCTACAGTTTTTTTGTTATCATTATGTCGTTTTAGTAGAAGCAATATTCTTAGAGGATGTCTTTTATGTGTAGCTATAAGCCGTGTTCGGAATTGGCTTTATGTGTAGGCATAAATCCTGTAGGCATAAATGCAATGTCATATAATAAAACGACATGTCTTTTATGTGTAGCTGTATCGTCCGCCTAGGTGACAAGTCATAGCCTGAGGACACAAAGGCACGTCGCTTGCATCCTAAAGCATGTTGCCGTTCAAGCCGTACAACGACAAGCCGTTTATACCTAATTACCTAAAATTTCTATCTTGTGTTGTGGTGTCATATTTTACCGTTTAAGATCCCCTCGGGAAAAAAAAAGTTTCTTGTTTAGCATAAATTACATGTCGTTTTTGTCTTCTTTTTTACTGAATAAATGACATTGCGTTTATGCCTAAAGTTTTTAATGCTGAAAAAACGGCGTATTATTTGTTGGAAAACGACACGTGGTTTTTTCCTTTTGGAATACACACAGATATATGTGTGTGTATGTAGGTAGGTATGTATGTATATGTTTTGTTCTTTCTTTTTTTCTTTTAAGGGAAAATTGGCTTGATTTATTCAATATTAGCTAAATCAGTTTGTACAAAAACAATTGATAAATTCGACAAACTAAAAAAAAGTAAAAGGAGTTAATTCCTAGGTGGGAAACGAAACGTAGCAAATAGAGCCAAAAGAAGTTCGAGACATAGCGAATTGAATATCGCTAATAATATTTGACTAAGGCATAGTTCATTTAATCGATTTGAGTTTTTAGTTTTAGATTTTTATAGTAAAAAATTCTCAAAAAATGTTACATTTAACTTTTTTTGTTACAGTGAAAAACTCTAAAAAAATATCATATCTCAATTCAAATTAAAAACTCAAATTCGTAAAGTAAACGAGGCAGACGATCACAAATATGGATATTGGGCAGCTTGAACAACATTGATAGCATCGGATTCTACCACCCATTGATAGCATCGGAGTTAACAAGTCTAATAATAGAAACGTCGTGTTTGCTATCATTTACCGGTTACGAACATGTTTGTAATTTCAATTATTAAAAAAAAATGCCACTCGTTTGGTGATCAGTTATATTTCGTTTCTTTTTTACTTCCTTTATAAATATTAATTTTTTACGTCTTTTATAGAATTCAAAGCCGTTCCTTTTTAGAAAATTTCAAGGTGCGTTTAGAATTCGTTCTAAAATAATTTTATTTTTTGTATGAAAAAAGAAATGAAAACGTTTTTAATCTCAGACATAAATTATTTTTAAAAATGCATTTGGTAATTTTTTTAAGAGATTATTTTCAATATAAAAAATCCATTAATGTCTCTCTCTCTACTCGAGAGAGGAGAAAATAGAAACAAAAAATGAAAAATGACTAAAAGTCGTTTTTCATTTCTCTCCCATTTTACACTAAATCAAAAAATTATTTTCATTTATGTTTTCTATCTTTAATTATGCCAAACACCGTTTCTCTTCCGTTTTTATTTTTTTCTTAAAAAACGTGAAAAACAAAAACAAAAACAACTCCAAACACAGCCTCAATATCGTTTACCCAAAAACGACATGAAGTTTACCTCTTCAAATTCATCTGTCGTTTAGCAGAGATGAGGGTTTTTTATTTTTGAAAAACTGATCTCGTTCTTCTGTTAAAAAAAAAAAAAAGAAAAAATAATTGATGTCGTTTGTATGGGGACGTGTCGTTGTCATACAAGCCTTTATACTCTTTCATAATTTTCGTATTTCCCTTGGAGTTTATACATAATAAATAAAATAGTTCGCCTTGTTTCATCTTAAAGTCTGCGGTCATTTTACAAGAAAATAACATACAGAGTTTATAATATTTTTCATGTCCTTTTTTTTCCCAGCAAGAAATATAAGTTCCCAACGATATATCGTTTACTTTAGATGAAGTGTTGTTAAGAACGTCTGGCTAGGCGTCTTTTATATATCTTAGGTCCAGTTCAGCCAAAAAAGTGACAGAGTTATATTATTTTAGGTCCGTTTATTTCGATACGAGTTTAAAATTTAAATTTTATTACAGTAAATTTTTTTTTAAAAATACTCATATTTAATTTTTTATTACAATAAAAAATTTTCACATAAAATCACATATCAATTTAAATTAAAAATTTAAATCAAAAAACTAAATGAGCTCTTAACTTAACTTTAAAATGCATGTCTTGTATTTAACGAGCGATGATTTCGTTTAATTTTTGACTTCGGACACTCACTTTAATTAGTTGTCTAATAACCATATCTGAATAGGGTGGTACGATCTAATTTTTTTATTTTATTTCAGATTTGTTCTTTTTAATTTTATACAAATTATTTAATTTGCTTGTTTTTTTAACTATATATATATATATTATCTCTCTTAGAACCCTTGAATAGTCAACTTAATACTAAAAGGGGCCATAACTGTATAATTCAAAAGATTTGTAAATTTCAATGGCCAAAATAAAACAAATACATATCCTCGTGAACTAATAATTAAATTAACCCTAAATACAATAACGTAAATATTCCAATCAAAATTGTATTACATGCATACAGTACATTGTGCACACTGCACAGGCACACTTTTATATAATAGAAAGAAAACGCAGGATAAATCCTTACTCAAATAATGATAGATCCCCCTACTCATATAACTAATTACGTAAGTAGTGGGTTTTTTTTTTTTTTTTTTTTTTTTTTTTTTGGCGCTGAAAGTGGGTTTTTACCCTATGAGAAATAGGATTGCGTATATGGAAAAGCGAAGCAAATATTAAGAGGGTATTTAGTATGAGGATTCATGTCATGATTCGAATCATAGTTCGTAACTCGCTACAGTATTTTTTTTTTTAAAAATACACGTAAATCGAGAATAATTTTGAATCATGATTCTAAATCTGTGAACTAAAAGTCTACTAAATAATTAAGAAAATGAAGACATAGGCCACGTTCATTTCACCGATTCGAGTTTAGAATTTGAGTTTTATTACAGTAAAAAATTCTCAGGAACAATCATATCAAACTTTTTTACTACATTAAAAAATTTTCATATAAAATAATATTTCAACTTAAATTAAAAATTCAAATCAGCAAACTAAACACCACGTAAAAGTAAATTGGGTTGGCTATAACGCCGATATTAATTAATTTTGATGTCGTAAGCGTAAGCGCCTGCATGTTGACTCCCACAGTTTCAAGTACTGAAAGAGGGAAGGTTTTTATTTTTATTTATTTATTTATTTTTATTTTATTTTTTTGACAAGCCTCTCTACAAGTCTCTGACGTCCTAAACCTTGTTTTCAGGTTTCTCTCCTGATTTGATCTGATCTGCAAATAGGG